TGTGCTAAATTTTATTGGGATATTTTCAGATTTCAGTGCAATGTTGCCAAAATAAACTTTAGATTGTGTCGATGATTTGTAAACCCCATTTCAAAAGCCCACGCTTTTCGCAAATAGCAGAAATTCACAGATTTTAAGAGCATATAATAGGGGCAACACTTTACTTCTTGAGAGTTTTTACGACATTCGCGAGCAAAGCATTATTTTAGAAGGTGTCAAATCAATGTTCACTATATCAAGAAAACATTAGCATCAAAATTGCCAAAAACAAGTAAACTAGTATCGGTCGGTTTTTCCGACAGATGTACACCCTCATCCAATATATTCCATCTAATCTTGGGTTTATGAAAATATTTGGAAGTGTGAAATTTTGAAGACAATCGGATTTATCATCACATTTTATAATTATTCAAAAGTTTTGCCCTTTGTGGGGAGGCACTTGATGGGGTGGACCGATATTTGCACACCTGACCTAGCACTGACACAAATATTAGGATTTGCAAAGTTGGAGCAAAATCGGATTATCTTTCTCTTTCTGTGCACAAAATATATATTATTTTTAATTTCTACCATTTTGTGGGGGAGGTACCAGAAGGAGTGGACCGACATTGTCCATCTCCGAACTCGATCTAAGCTTGACAAAAATTTCACGATATACCAAGTTCGTATCGAATACTCCCTTCGAGAGTTATCGTGCGCACCAGCCAGACAGACAGACAGACAGACGGACGGACGGACGGACATCGCTAGATCGACTCCAAATGTTCTGAAACGGATTTGGTCCAGAGAGACCTAGGTCCTAAAACCGTTATTTCGACTAGGCATGTTTTAACCATATCAAATGATATATACCTTGTTATGGCCTATATAAGGTCTATCAGTAAGACCATCTGACGACCAAGTTTTCTGTCAAAATATATTCTGAATTCGCCCTATAAAAACGTTGACGTGACGTTTTTGTCAACAAATTTAAAAATATTTTAAATTATTAAAGGAGTTTGAAGACAAATCTATATAAATTATAAATGAACAGAAAAATTTGTGAATTTTGAAAATGAGATTTTGCCGAATATGCAGAAAGAAGGAGGTTCCAGGAAGGGGTACACTTTTTGCGGTTCAATATAATGAAATGTCGAGGGCAGAATGGAGTAAATTTTGCCAGTTAGAACTTAAAGCAACGTCTTCTGTATGCTCTGAACACTTCGACGGTGCTGATGTGGTGAAATCTGGAAGAGAATATTATCGCGATAATAATCAGGAGGGTATATGAAAGCCTTGGGCGCGCAAACATTTAGTCCGCAGACCTTGGACATTACAACCTTGCTTTCCAAAATACTCCAGACACAATAGTCCAACAGATTGGTATCCCGAGATTTTTGTGGCCATTGTGCGCAGGAAATTAAGTGAGGAACCTTATTTTGTAACCAATCTTGGGTGGCGTATGCCGAGTGCGATGGTGCTGACTCCTGTTGGAATGTCCAAGGTCTGCGGCAAAATTGTTCAATGGCTTCACCCCGAGCCACTTGTGGTTTTCCAGCCAAATATAAGGAAATCACACTATCATGCTAGAATTCCATCACGAATAACTTTTTTCTGGAAAATTCTCATCAAAATGCTCTTGTACGCTGGTAAACAATATAATGAGCTGTCACTGGAATATTTTTAAGAGCTGCCGGACGAGTGGCTTAGAAATGACAGCAGTCTGATGTTGATTGCAATTTTTTTCATCTCACCCTGTAAATATTATAGAGTGCCAGGTTTGGACTATATTTAGAACTTCATTCACTTTATATGAGGCATGTGATATTTTTTGGAAAATACTTTTATATTCACATCAAACGTCTGGTTGAGACAAATATTTAGATACACCAAGTTTCAAAGAATTGCTGACTCGCTTCGTAATTTAGGATATATATAAGTATTGAAAAATTAAACAATCCGTGGAGGAAGTATCAGGAGGTGTGGGCCGATATCTGTCATGCTATGTGAAACTTTATTTCTCATTTGATGATGGTTTTATTATTCAAAATGTTGTATGGGAGGTACCGGAAGGAGTGAACCAATGTATTCCTTATAACAGAACTTCTGCTAAGAGAAATGTTGGGATGTGCCGAGTTTGAAAGGAATCGGATGCTCATTACGTGTTTATGGGCCTCATGGTTTCTCCCGTTGTAGGGGAGATACCAGAAGGAGTGGTTGTATTCCGTCTTCATGTCAGATCTTTTGTTGGTATGGATGAACCAAAATTAAAGGCAATCTAAATCTTTTTTTTCCAGTTTTTATTGGATTTAAAATTATTAAAAAATTCAACCTCTTGTGTGGTAGGTGGGCCTATATTACCCATTTTCGATCGACTCCAAATGTCCTAAAATGTGTTTGTTCCAAAGAGACCTGTGGTGTAAAACCTTTATTTCAATGAAGGCCGTTTTTCCCACATCAAATGATATATACCCTCTGTAGCCATATGGCTGAGGGTATAAAGAAGTCCATAGTTAGTATAATCTACATTACATAATACATTTATATATATATATATATATATATATATATATATATATATATATATATATATATATATATATATATATATATATATACTAGCTGAACCCGGTGCGCTTCGCTACCCCTTTTGATTTTATATGCATTCAAAATTTTATTTACAAATATATGTTGGTTAAAAAAAAAACAAATTTAAAAATTAAAAAAAATTATTGCACTACTACGCATTAAGTAAATAACCAAAAGCATTAGAAAAGCAGTAACATGACATATATACACGAAGGGTTTGTCCTTCGGATTTATTTATTTCATAGCACATACCAAGCGTGCAGTAAACTGCAATCTTTTGAAGTTGAGTGGCATTTCTTTTGCAATTAGTGAATTCGAGATAGCAACATACTTCGCCGTAATAAGCGTATTACAAATTAATTGTTGTGTTATTTTTTAGTGTTAGCCTAAGGCGTTGTGGGTCAATGGTTCTTATTAAAATCATATCCCAATCTGATCCGATTTAAATATAATTTTAAAAAAATTACTTTTACGCCAAACTCCGCTACACCTTTCATATTTCATTGAAATTGGTGCGCCAAATATGTGAAATCGGCCGAGTGAGAGCTATATCCAAATCTGCACTAATTTCCAATTAATTTATCACATTTATTATCATAACCAATTTCCGCCACACATTCTGAATTTCATTGGTATCGGTCATATATATCATGTTTGGTGCATAACATGTATGAAATCGGCCGAAATATATATGTTGCCTATATCCAAACCTCAACTGATTTCAATATAATTTGGTAATTTTTTCTGGTGCCAGATTTTGTCTCGCTTTGGGTGCATCAAATATGTGAAATCGGCTGAGTATATATATGGGAGCTATAATCAAATCTGAGCGTATTTGAATATAATTTGGCAAATTTATTTTTGTACCAAATTTAGCCACTCATGCCGAATTTCATTGGAATCTTAAATACGTATCGTGTTTTGTGCATATGTGAAATCGGCGGAAAATATATATGGGAGCTATATCCAAATCTGAACCGATTTTAATATAATTTGACTAATTTATTTTCTAATCAAAATCCCGTTACATATTCCAAATTTCTTCGGAATCGAACATACATATATAATATAATTTGGAAATCAATTTTTTAGATAAAATCTATCACACGTTTCAAATTTCATTGAAATTAGAGATACATGGCGTGTTTGGTGCATCAAATGCTTGAAATCGGCCGAAAATATATATGGGAGCTATATCCAAATCTGAACCGATTTCAATATAATTTGGCAAATTTATTTTTGTTCCAAATTCCGTTACGCATTCCAAATTTGGAGACTGTATCTGTAATCGATCAATAGATATGTGCATACAAAATCTAAATTTTTGGGAGGTACCTCCGATTCTGATGCTATATCTCCAGTTCCAAGTGGAAATTCAAAAATGTATATAGCCTATGTTACTTTCAGGCGATGTTGCAGTATATATGGAAATTTTCAGGAAAATCTCTTCAGCGGTTATCAAGTATATATATTACATATATATATATATATATATATATATATGTATATATATATATATATATATATATATATATATATATACATATATATATATATATATATATATGTAATATATATACTTGATAACCGCTGAAGAGATTTATATATGTATATATATATATATATATATATATATATTGCTGTATATGATAGACAAATTTACTGCCCTTCTAAATTAATGGACATTTTCATATCACTTGATTTCTCTGAAATTATATGTTCGTTCTTAGTCAATATTAGTGAAAATAACAGGATGTGATGTTTGTCATTCATAGACATAATATTTTAGGACCCAACGCAGGATTATCAACTTAAATGGTTAGGATGTTAAGTCCCAAATTATTATTTGTGTTTAATATTTTTTTATAAAATTTTTTTTAATAAAAATTATATAAAATTTTTAAAAATGCCAACTTATATATTTTTTTATTTCAAAATGAAACATAATTGAAATAACTGTGTAAATTGTCCGAATTGTCTGATCAAAATATTAGTTTTTAACAACGAAGTTGTTTTTAAAACAGAAAATTTTTAATTGAAAATTTAAAGAGAACTAATTATTATTTCTCACTCTGTAAAGAGAGGCAAAAAACACTTGCAATATTTTGTTATTTCAAAACACATATAATCACAAAAAATTTTTGAGTCTCTCTGCCTTGCCCTGCTGTATATATTTCTACTTAAACGCCAAATGCTTTTTGCAGTTTCTTTCAAAATACAGTGTTTTTTTCATGGAAAAATATCTGGTGTTTTGTTTATGAAATTTAATGTTGACTTTCGGATGTGCAGTTAAAATATGCTTTTAATAAAAGACAAAATCATACTTAAACATTGGAAGTGCAATGCTCTTCTCCTCTTCCGACTACCTTGTACTTATATGTTTGTTTTTTTTTTTTTGTTTCTCATCTTTGCTTTTCTATCTATATATGCAGAATATATCAACACCAACTGGGACAACACCACCACCGCATCAACTGTCGGTTACCTGGGCTACGCCACCGTGTGGTTCAAATATCAAAGAATTCAAAGGTAAACCTGGTACACCCTTGCCCGGAGCCATTGCAGCAGCAGCGGCCACAGCACCAACATCAGGTGTTGGAATTGAGTTCAGCGAATTCGCCCAACGAAAGAGGTAAACATAAAAGACAAAGACAATAACATAAAAGGGAATATTTAAAAGGAATACAAAGGGTATTCAAGAGGATGTATAAAACTGCAATGAAAGTAAAAAACGAAAAAAGTTCATGCCATCAATGAAAAGTTTTCGTGACTCGCCCGTTGAGGCAGACTAACCGACTGCAGTGATATGAATATTTAATGAATGGGAACTGTTGAGAAAATTATCTGTGAAATGATTGTGTATTTTTTTTTTAATTTCTGCAGTTGTTTGTTAATCTAAAAGATTTTAAGCGGGAGGAACATTTTGATTCTGAGGTTAATTTTTTATAAGCACCTTAACTTAGCTAGGATCTAGGAAGGACTTTTAAATTGTGGCAAATTATTTTTATACCCTCAGCCACGTGGCTACAGATTGCAATATTCTTTGATACTGCCAAAACGTGCCGGTTTTAGGCCTTAGGTCTCTTTCCACCAAAGCCTTTACTGGACATTTGGAGTCGATCTAAGTGTGTCCGTCCGTCTGTCTGTCTGGCTGGTGAGCACGACAACTATCGAAGGAAGTATCCAATTTGATTTAAACTTGGTACATAGTAATATTATTGTTAAATTTAGAGATGGGGAAATATCGGTCCACTCCTTTTGGTACTTCCCCCACAAAAGGTAAAAAGTGTCATATTAAATAATTTACCTCATACAACAAGAAAGCACTATTCAATTTTGTTCAAATCATGCAAATCCTAATATTTGCATCAGTGCTAGTTCTGTTGCAAAAATGTACATTATCGGACCACTCCATTACGTACTTACCCTGCAAAGGGTCAACATAACATATGAGTCCGAGTCCTCACATACCAATATTTTTACCAACACAAGCTTTAGCTTGAAAACGGAATATATCGGACCACTTCTTCTGATACCTCAGCCACAAAGGGTCAACATTTTGAATAATTATAGCTTTTATAAAATGTGAAAAAAATCAGATTGTCTTCCAATTTCGCACATCCCAATATTTCAAATTTATCTCATACAACAAGGCCCATTCAATTTTGTTAAAATTTTGCGAATCCTAATATTTGTATCAATGATAGGTCTGGTGCGAAAATGGAGAATATCGGTCCATTCCATCGCGTACCTCCCCCACAGAGGTCAACATTTTAAATAATTATAACTTTTATAAAATGTGAAAGAAGAGTTCGAACCCGCACATCCCAATATTTCTACCAACACGAGTTCTAGTTTGAAAACTGAATATATTGGACCACTACTTCTGATACCTCACCTACAAAATTTTGAATAATTATAACTCTTATAAAATGTGAAAAAAAAGTCCGATTGTCTTCAAATTTCGCACATGCCAATATTTTCACCTCATCCCAATATTATGGACCACTCCTCCTGGTTCCTTCCCCACAAAGGGTCAAAATGTTGAATTATTATAACTCTTATAAAATTTTAAATAAAAGTCAGATTTATTCCGAAGTTCACGCATCTCAATATTTCTTTTAATTTTTGTCGTTGCAAAATAGTTAGGCTTACTCTCATTATTGTTGTTTTTATAAAAACAACGTTTGTTTATTAGTGAAGAAGCTACCATCCTTTACCAGAGCTAAGGCAGGGAAAACCTAGGTTTCGAGCTGTGGTGTTAATATGGAATATATCGGACTACTCCTTCTGGTACCTCCCCCACAAAAAGTTACCATTTATATTAATTATAATCCTTATAACATGTGAAATAAGTCGGCGATTCATATCTCAATGTTTGACTAAACTTGAGATCTAATTTGAATGTTGACCCTCTTCTTTTGATATCACTTCTACAAGGGGTCAACATTTTAAATAAGTCAAATGTCATAAAATTAAAAATAATTATACGATGTTTTTCTAACTTCGCATACTTAGTTCTAGTGCGAATACAGAACTCATTGGCCCAATCTATCGGGTTCCTCCCCCACCAAGGGTAAATATGAAATATGTTGGTCCACTCCTTCTAGTACTTCCCCTACAAAATATAAAAAATATTGATGACCAATTAATCCCACAAAACTTCAAATAAGTAATTACTGCAAATCTCAATATATGTATCAGTTTTAGTATTATACCTAAACTCTTTCTCCTACCTCCTGCACAAGTGTTCAATATGTTCCAAAAAATATGTACACATATTTCAAATAAAGGAGAGAAAGGTGTCGATACGGTTCAAACCTGACACGATCCAATAATTATATCAGACTTAGGTCATATAATACGAGCGGAGAGCGACTATCGGCTGTTATGGCGGCCCACAAAATCACCATGGCCGGCGCTTGAGTTCTGATGGCCAACCGAAGGTGCACATTTTCAGCTGACCTCTTTGGCAAGTAAATAGATCATTTTGTTTGTTTACATACTGCTGGACACCACTTTCGGCCAAGCGAAGCAACTCTTTTTGAGTCTATTTTCTTTCCGTTGCGGTGTAAGTTCCTGCACTTTTTGGAATTTCAATGGTTTTACCCCGAGTTCATTTTTCAATATTTGCCGAATGGAATATTGCGATATGTTCAGCTCACAAGCCATTTTTCGGACACTGCGACGCGGGTTTCGATCAAGTCACTTCTCTACTTTTCGAACCATTTCTGCTGATGTTGCTGTTTTCTTCCGTCCACTTCCTTGACGTCGGACTACGCTACCAGTATCACGGCAACGAGCGATGATACGAGACACAAAAGATTTATCCACATTTAAATCGTGGAGTGCGCCAACGATAGCCACTTGTGGTTTTCCAGCCAAATACAAAGAAATCTCACTATCACGCTTGAATTCCATCACGAGTAACTTTTTTTCTGGAAAATTCTCACCAAAATGCTTTTGTACGTTTGAATAATTTTAACACCTGTCTGACAAGTGGCTTAGAAAAGACAGCAGTTAAATCTTAACTCATTTGGTTTGAAATTGTGAAAGAAATCTATAAAATGCTGAAAATGATTATACAAATACAGGATATCTATAGAAAAATTTGGTGAATCGAAGTTTTATCTAATGAGAACCCAAATATCTATCATTTGGAAATTGAAGGGAAGCTACTTTATGGGACCTACTCCTTATAGTGGGCTTGCATCAAACATATTTTATAAGTAAAAAATGAACTCGAAATGCCAAGGTCCATTCAATTTTGTTTATGAGGGGACATATATGGGGGGTTATTGCAATTAGGAATCGTGAACATTTTCCAAGAAGGAATTGGGCCGAATAAGAGCATCTGATATAGATCGATTTTTTTGCTCTCAAAACTTCTACCAATACCTTATAAAACTAAATCGGTTCCTGATCCTGGTACCTCTAATCGGTCTAAAATGTGCCAAAACGTGGGTATCTATACTATAACAAAAAGGGTGAAAATTTGAAAGACCTTTGTGACCTTGGCAGTGTATAAAGATTATCGTCCCAATTCTTCTATAACTTGCCCAAATAGCATTTTAGTAATAACATTTCTGGGATTTTATACACAGTCTAAATTTATTTTATGTTTGCAGAATTTTTATATAGAAATTTGTTTCAAAAAATTCACAATATTAGAATTTTCCGACATCCTGAAAGTCCCAGATTTGATTTGTCCAAGATTTGCAACCAAATTGGGGCATGATTTTGATGACCATATTTTACTGCCGTGATAACTATTTGGGCGCCCGGACATAATCCCCACTGACATAATCTCCATTTAAATTATGGGGATTATGACCGAGTTTTTCGAATTCCAATAAAATTCGGAATGAGTGGCGGAATTTGGTACAAAAGTAAATTTTCCTAATTATATAGAAATCGGTTCAGATTTGTATATAGCTCCCATGTATATTTTCGTCCGATTTCACATATTTGATGCACGGAATAAGTGAAGGAATGTAGTTTAAAAATAATTTTGAATTCAGTTCAGGATTGGCTATAGCTCCCAAATATATATTTTCGGTAGATTTCACATATTTGATTCACTAAACACGACGTGCATGTCCGATTCCAATAATGATGAGAACTCTATCGTGACCAAAGCAACTTTGAATTTTGCGCTCTTTAAGATTATTTTTATACCCTCCACCATTCTAACTCCTCGAAATATTTATAATAGACCCTACAAAGTATATATATTCTAGATCAGCGTAAACTTCTAAGACGATCTAGAGATCACCAGTAGGCAGGTTAAGCTCCTAAATGGGCCATGTCGGCCTACGTTTTCGTATAGCCCCATATAACGGTACCTCCCGACATTCGGTACCTACATGGACCAGTTTCAATACCAAAATAAAATTTTATCATTTCTGTACTTCATTTCGGAAGCTAGAGTGATTTCCACAGACGTCTTCGTATAGTCTCCAGTTATCATTTAAGTGGTAGTTTCCGGAAGCTTTTTGAATTTTTTCAAGGTCCTTCCACATGGTGGAGGGTATTAAAAGTTCGACCCGGCCGAACGTAGCTGCTTTTTTAATTGTTGGTTATTACTAAAGGAATTAAACAATATACCCTCCACTTAAACGAATACCTATATAGACAACGCATAATATCTGAAAAATAATTAATATATTTAAATTCTTGCCTTACAAATCATAAACATTTCTACATCCGCCACAAAGCGGGCTATTTTAGTTTAATAAGCTGATGATTCTAGATAATTCTTGCTCAGTTTGGGACTTTTTTGTTTACTGACCTTCAAACCAACTTTTGGGTAAAGAGACAGAGATATTATATAGTTTCATTTTCTACTACTTTCTCACGGAACCTCCACTTAATGGCAGAGAGTAAATCATCAAAACACAGGATGCCTTTCATCCCCCAAACATTCCTAAAGCATCACCAATATTAAATTTTGTTGCCTGCCCTTAAGTCTTGGCTACAGAAACATTAGTCCTACATGCCAAAAGCTCTCTTCTACTATGCTTTATACACGCAGAACTGATTATGATATATTATACAACAAATACCACCAATCACAATTCACCTTTTTCTATGAATTCAGTCTGGGAATCATTTTACTTGTGCATTAATGTA